TCTATTTTTCTTTTGTTCATAGAAGAAGCCGTGATCATCTCTGATAGTGAAGAGGAAGATGTTGTCATATTAAACCCAGAAATAAAAAAAGATGTCAAGTGAGTATACTCATGCTTCTGATTTATTTTCCTGTGTTCCCAGTTCCTCTAACTAGCTATCACATGTTGAAGTCTTCAAAATTAAACCTGTTCTGTCTAAGGTTTTGTAATAAAATCCTATCCTTGGTCTCACTGCTTTTTAGTGTGATACAAATTTCATGTCTGCTAAACATGTTGACTGCATTATTGTTTTTCAATACAAACTTCAATAAAGGCCTTTGTCTGTTTGATTTCTGATTAGTGGCCTATAGGAGGGACTAAAAACATTGCCTTCCAGCAAAGAGGGCAGAGTTATAGACAGACATCACTGCAGAAGTGTTCAGACAACCACGATCCAAGACCCAAGCCTTCTCACAGATTTGTAATGCAAAATCCATAATCATTTTCACATTTTTATGCTTGTGACAGGGATTTTATTTAAATGAGAAGTGTTGTCTTGTGCTGAGTTTTCTGTAAGTGATCACTGTCTAATATTGGTTTTCCAATATGTATGCTGTTTTATAGAACACAGACCGTGATCCCTCAACAACCACGTGCAGGTGCTTCCAAGAAGAGGAATAAAAAGAAATAAACCTACTGGAGAAAGAGAAAATCAGTTTTCAAAACGAGGAGATAGTATTAACACAGCCCATACACAGATTATGTACTCCAGTTATTTTTCCATTAAGCATTGTAATTTTTCTATTCTTTAGGTTTTTATTTTGGCATTCCATGGAAAATTAATAAAAATGGCAAACAGTTCTCAGCCTGATGCTTCAGGAAGTTCTCTGGCAATACGACATAGTATAAAGGATACTACACATAATACAGGCACAGCATGGTCCCATGTGAAGTAATGATTTAGAGAGCCAGTTATCTATATTATTATCTAGAATATAAAACAAGTTATAGATGACCTGGGGATTTTTATTCTGCTCTCCCTTAATTCTTTTTCCAGTACAGCAACATTTTGAATTTGTATATGCGTTATACCTTATTATATTACTTTACCGCAAAACATACCATATTGATCTTCACAGTTTAATAAAAAATATGGGTTTGTCTTAAGTGGGTCGGCTGTAACACTTTCAGGCAGAGCACGTCTTGGACATGTATGGGAATCTCATCTCTGCAGGCATTGTGTCCTGGGCGAGTGATACAGAGAGAGGTTTCCATTAATACATCCGAATATCGGAATAGGGACTGAGGGGGCTGGAGATGGGAATGTCTTAAAGGTCTTTTGGGGTTGATACTAATGGTCAACCAAGCAAGTCTTCTGTGTGGCTTTCTTGCAAAGTTGTAGTAAATTGCTGTTTTAGCACAAACAAAATGCTGAATAATGCACAGCTTTGCTCTTGTTACTTTCACCAATTCAGAATTAGTAAGTTTTAACCCAATACTAAATTGAGTAGTCTTTTGATTCTTTATTGGGACAAACCTGAAAGTAAACCCCACTGTGACTGTAGGAACATGGGTTTGGAACTATCTGTTTGGTTTCCATCAGTAATTGAGCATAACCCCGGCTATGAAGCCTTTGAAAACAAGCAACATAAACTGGACATGTTTCAGGACACCTGGGATTTGCTTTAGAAATGTTATGTAAAATACTTTTATTAAATTTGTTATTAAATTATTTGTTGTTACACCTACTGTTATAGTGCTTACTTCTCAAGGCCACTACTGTCTTTACCAAGGAGGTTGTATTACTTTGTTTTACATTCACTACTGGACCTGTATGGTACATGCAGTATAATGTGCTTTATAATCCCATTAATAGCATCTGTAAGTATTAGTGACTGTAAGTATTTACAGTCATTGCATTGCATCCCCTGAGGCATGGGTGTAATGGTTGTTTAGACAGCCTGCTGATCCTTAATGTTCCAAATACAAAACTAACATGTAAGGTATTCAGCTGCTTCTGAAGCTTGAATGGAAAGGATTCAGCTCATTTTTATTTTTTTTCCCACCTTTTTAGTACAGGATTTGTTTTGCAACAAAGGATCATTGCTCCTCTTAATTTAAACATTAACATTCCAGTGATGCCTGATTTGAGTCCCAACTCATGTTTTATGGAAATATGTTAGCAAACACTTTTAAGGCTCCTTTGTCACCAAATTCAGTTCACCAGGGTGAAATTACTAAGAAACGATCCCAAAGCTAATTTTCCACCTACCAGCGAACCCCTTTTTCAGGGGAAAATGTTAAAATAAGACTTTAAATGATTAATGTCGTTGTTGTTTCTGAAACTACTGTTTTCACCCATGCATACTGAGCACCAGTAGAAATGTATCATTTATAACTGCAACAAAATCAAAACATCTTTTTTTAACAAATCATATTTTATTAAATAAACATAGGTAAACTCGTTGTGCAGGTAAACATTTAACAACCGCGTCCCTCACATTGCTGTGAAAGTCACAGGCTAGTAGGATGTGTAGTCACCCTTGGAAACAATACAATCTTTGCATCTGTGATGCATGCTTTGATGCATTTGTGATGCATGTGGGACTTTCTCACAGAGACACAAGCACGTACTTTCCACTGATATTTGTTGCAGTAGGTGCGATGCCATCCCACTTACATTCAGGGGGTCTCGGGTCTGGTCTGTAGGGCCCATTGTTACATTGAAGATCCATTCTTGGCCTATACAGCCTGAGATGTTGTTGCATCCAGATGATCTTGCAGGAAGGGCAACAAGTGGGTTCCTAGGGTTTGACAAGAGATATTCACTAGGTAAACTGTAGGTGCCACATTGTCTCAGCTAGAAAATACTCGCTGGGGCTCGGGTTTGGTGAGCAGGGCATATATAGCATAAATGATACATTCTTAAACCACAAGAAAACCAATGTCAAAGAAATGAGGCTTGTAGTGTAGTTAGGTTGCCATCAATCGCTAGAAGTGGAGTTCTGTCATGACTACACTCTCCTGCCCAGACCATCACACTAGAGCCTCCCCATCAATCTTGGTAAGGTGTTGTGACTTGTCATCTCCCAGATCCTGACTGTTGGGTTATAATATCTTGCCAGGTTAGAAATTGTTGGCAGTGAACGCCCCAGGTGGTGAGTTGCAGTGTGATGACTTGGTACAGCCTCCTTCATCCTGCTGGCACAGGACTAAAGCTTGTGATGAAAGAGGCGTATTGTTTTCACTTTGTTTTCTCCTTTTCAGCAGGCTTGGCAGGTTTGGCAGTCAAGAAGCTAAAATAGCTCCTGGTTTATGCTGAGCTTACACCTTGAGCTATTACTGTCAGTCATAAGCATTCAAATTGATGCCTTAAACAATTTATCAGTATTATAAACCCATATACTTTCATTTTCTAAAAACATACATGCATAGAGAGGTGTATATTTTTTGTGTTGATAGTATATTAAGGGGTATATAGTACCTCATAAGTACTCGATCAGTTCTTTTAAACCATTCAACTTCAACAAAAAAGAAAAGTAGTTTGCAGCCTGCAGTTACAGTGGTGTTAAAAAGTAAGTACACCACATGAAAGGGTTTGTCTTTTTTTTTATGTTTTTGGACAAAGGGATATTTGATCGTCATTTCAACAATACTGGAAGATAAAGGTGATCTAATTTTTAAAAATAACATTGAAAAAATCACATTTTGCACACATTCGTACTATTTAAATCAACAAAATGCAATTTCTTTGTAGGGAAAAAGTTAGTACACCCTTACCTTTATCATTGCATCAAATGCCTAAAATTAGAATCAGTTGCACTAAAACAGGTGAAATGATTAGAACATCATTAGAGAGTAACTTGGATGGCACTGCCTTATATCAGAAACCTGTGGTCTGGTTTGGTCTTAGCAATTGAGGTGTGTGGCTACATCATGCCAAGATCAAAAGAGCTCTCTGAGGCCCTCAGAAGAAAGATTGTTCATGCCTTTGAGTCTGGGAAGGGTTTTGAAGCCATTTCCAAGCAATTTGTAGTCAATCACTCCATTGTCCAAAAGATCATCTACAAATGGGGAAAATGTCAAACCACTGACAATCTGTCCAGGCCAGGTTGTCTCACGAAATTCAGCCCAAGAGCTGACCGAAAGAGGCTGCAAGAAGTCTCCAAGAACCCCAGGATAACATCAAGGGATTTACAGGCAAGTCTTGCCTCAGTCAATGTCAAAGTGCGTGAGGCAACCATCTGAAAGAGACTGCACAACTTTTACCTACATGCGAGGTCAGGAAGGAAGAAGCCTCTGCTCTCAAAAAAAGAATATAGATGTATGACTGAAGTTTGCCAGACAACACATAGGTGAAGATCAGGACTATTGGAAAAATGTGCTCTGGACAGATGAGACAAACAATGCCGGACATCATGTCTGGAGAAAACCAAAACTGCCTTCGACCAAAAGATCCTCATACCAACTGTAAAGCATGGAAGCATTATGGTTTGGGGCTGCTCTTCTGCCTCAGGGCCTGGCCAGCTTGCCATCATGGAGTCAACCATGAACTCCACTTTGTACCAGAGAGTACCTGAGGAGAATGTGAGGCCATCTGTCAAAAAGCTGAAGCTGAACCATAAGTAGACCTTATGACAAGACAATGACCCAAAACACTCAAGCAAATCCACACAAGAATGGCTCAAAAAGAAGACATGGAGGGTTATGGAATGGCCAAGTCAAAGCCCAGATCTTAACCCCATAGAAATGCTGTGGTGGACTTGAAGCGGGCAGTACATGCAAGGAAGCCCTCAAACATCACACAGTTGAAGGAGTTCTGTAAGGAGAAGTGGGCAAAGATGTCTCCAAGTCGATGTAGGAGACTGATAGACAATTACAAGAAACGCCTACACGAAGTGATTTCTGCCAAAGGGGGCAACAGCAGCTATTGAAGCTAGGGGGTGTACTTATGTTTTCCACAGCAGACAATTGCATTTCTGACATTTTTTGTTGTTGAATAAATGATTGAAAAGAATAATTTTCATTGTTATTTGTTAAATTCGATCACCTTTATCTATCAATATTTTTTAATTGAAGATCTAATATCCATACACGCAAATATGTTGAAAAATACACCTTCGTGGGGTGTACTTTTTATCTGATACATTTGTGCAAAACTTAAATTAATACTGATAAAAATGTTTTTAAACAAGTTACATAAATCTTTGAATTATTAAAACTGCCAGTTACTACAGGTGACCGGTACCTTTCAATTCACATCGTTTCATAAACTGCCCGAGACCAGATTACAAATAGAAATTAACTAGTAACCCAATGATTGCGTAACTGCCGAGCAGTTTAAACAAACAGAGCACTTCAGACTATTTGAATCCATTTCTTAATTTCCACTGGACAAAAACTGAATTTCCAGTTTTCGAGGTGGTTCCCCAAACCGGTTCATAGTGTGCAAAACGGGGGGGATTTAAAATCATAAGTGCTTATGATACATAATTTATTTGTTGGTATATTAGAATCTACCCACTTTACTGAGCATTTCATAGTCTATTTAAAGCAGCTTCGTAGTCACTATACAATTTCAAAAAATACAATAATTATTTTTCTTCTGTCCTGAGCATGATTTCACAAATATAACGTTAAGGGCAAAAGGCGCGCACTGAACCCTTCACAAGTGTAAGAAGACGACTATTCCTAACACAAGCTTCGTACTAACAAAGAGCGCCGCTTCAGCGCTACGTCATTGGGTACTCGTAGCTCAGGCTACCGGTTTAAACAGCGTGGTTCTCCGACAGCCGGACAAGTTGAGACAAAGCGGCGTGGGTCTGCTTATTAAATCTCTCCAACGTCTAGCAAAGCAACCATCTGCGGGCATATGTAAACAAGAGACCACCAGCCCATAACTCGTGCCTGTGTAGATAGACGCCAGGGTATAAGAGCTATGGTGCAGAACTGTAAACAAAAGGAACTCGTTCTCCAGATACCAATTATAATCAACCAGCTCTGTTCCCACTCCACTAAGTACCTACAAAACGTCAAAAATACAATTAATTTTATTTGACTCTTTTGAGCAAGTTTTCAGTAGCTAACAAACGCTGGTTTTAAAATGTCATGTGCTAACGTTTTGTATATATATATGCATATACATAAACGCATACGTTTAATATTTTAATTTGTATGTTTGCTTTTCAGTTATCACTCATTCTCTTTAAGCTTCTAGTCTTTATAATGAATCAGAAATACACAGGACCAAATAACCATAAAATACATTCCTGGACATTTTTGTGATGATTGAAGGAGTTTTTTTCACCCAAAAAGGCAAAAAATGTGCAGGGTACTTCCCAATGGTTAGAGTTTTAACAATCAAACCACTTACTACAGCATGGAATTTTCAGAGCAAAGTACAGTTCATAGGTATATTCATATATTAGGATCATTACTTCATTCCTCTTTACCTAGTCTTAATATTAACATTCCCTTGGTACTTGATGACAGACAATCCCTGCTCATGTTTCATAGAAATACACATTGAAACACTTAACACCAAACTTGTAAGGTATCTACACTAGAAAGAGACAATGCCCCTGGTAATCGTTCCGATTGCATTTATTCTCTTGGATGTGATGTAGTTTCTGCATTTAAATCAATTTAACAAAAGTATGAGCTATTAAATCAGTTCTGAAACCACAGGAGTGTGAAAGGCCATTTTACCAATTATAACAGGCACTAATTCAACATCTGATATTTAATCTATGGGGATTTAAAGCAGAATTTCCTATATTAGACCAATTCTAAAGTAATTTAAAGGGAAGGTCAGGTTAGAGCTACTAAAGCACAATTGACGACATGGAAAGAGATAAAATGGGATTTCTACGGAGTACTGTTTAGAGCTTTGCTTTTGATGCTTTAACACAGTTAATGGTTATGAGTCTGGGAAGGGTTTTAAAAATCTCTGCAAACCAATGTCTGAGCTGGTCTAGCCTAAGTATGGGTCATTGACCCCTGGCTCAGGTATTGATAATCTAGCAAATGGCACCTGCTCTTACATTCACCCACTCTTTTGGAACCTCCCTTTGTTTAAGAGGTTTTCCTAGTCTCGATCTTTCTGTAAAGAAGTATCATACACAGCTAGAACACCCATCCATGCAGGGACCCACCAGGGAGTCTAAGCTTGTCAGACAGTAAGAAGCTTAACTCTCACTCACATGTTACAACCATAAAATACAGACAAAGGTAGTAACTACCAGAAGCATGAGAACATTTAAGTTGTAACCTCTTTTACCAAGATCCAAACAGCCTTTCAAAACCCAGTTTTACAGAAAATGAAAAGAGGAAAGAGCAATTTCTCTCATCTAATTAAACCGTCTTAGAAATCAAATATCCTGTAGTTTACCACCATGGGAGCTTGCCTCCTGTAGGTCAAGGAACCTCAGTTGTCATTTTTAAAGGCCTTCAAAGTTGATTAACAAGATACAGTTTAGACCAGCATCGCTAAACAGTTCAAACCTATACTAGCTTTCCAGATCAAGAAAGACACCAAGAGAGATAGTATGTCAACTGTACCTTTATTATAGAAGGTGGAATTTACAAGATAAAAGCATTTATAACTTCCAATAGCTTTACTTGCTATAAACCCTCACACAATCTGTTAGCTCCTCAAGGCATGGTATGAGGAATACAACTTACACTTGAGGCAGTTATAAATGTCAATAATCAACACCCTAGAAGATTGCACATAAAATACATTAAAAGTACAAAACTGGCATCTGTATACCATAGACAAACCTACGGCTTGCAGTTATTGAAATACTCTGGTCATGGTAGTGACATTAGAAAAATAAAAAACTGTACATTAAAAATCTTAAAAAAAGTCTTCCCATGGAAATAAAAACTCCCAACTTTAAACCAGCATCACTTTTTCTGGTGGTTCAATCAGAGAAACTTCATGGTACCTGAAAAACAAGTCAACATTTAGGCTTTAAACAACAGTGGCAGTTTTCAAGGCTATATCAAAGACTAGCTATAAAACAGGATGTACAGTGGGCATTCACAAGGCAAACTAAGATTTTCCAAAACAACCTGAATGTTGTAGGGCTTTGCACTTTCTGAAGACCTTATTACATCCAAAGTGTGTCAGAGGGGGCAGTTACAAGTAAAACTGCCTCTCCTAAACCAAGTGGGTGATCAACCCATACCAAGGTCTTGGTGGGTCTTTTCCCCATAGTGGGAATAGGTAGAGAAAGTCCAAGTCGTCACCCAACCTTACCAACATGCAACCCAGTTTTCTGTGCACTGTACGCAAGAATTACTGTTCCCATTTATATGCAAGTATTTGAAATTAAATGTGAACCGGTCAAGCTTAGAGACCGCAAGACAAGTTTCTCAAATACTGAGAGTTCTAGATCCCAACAAAAGATACATAACCAAGGTAATGCCAAAACCTGGACCTGTATCTTTGGCAGTCAAATCACTTACTGCCAGAAAACCACTGGATCTAGTTAGATAAACTCCAGCAGAACAGAATGTATGAAGTCAAGATAGGTCCAACTAAAGATTTAGTTACACTTATCAGGCCAGTCAAAGTCTTCACTATTTCCTAGAAATACCTAAAGATCAACAAAGCCAAGTGTGAAGGAACTGCTCTTACAAAATGGACGCATAGAGGTGTACAGAATAAACTAACCCCACAGCTGGACAAGCCAGATGTACTTTGCATTTTAAACTGCTACGGTTGCTACCAGAAAGATGTTTTGGGGGTACTTACTTTGTACCCTTGTATTTCTCCCTCACAGACTGTTGCGCATGCTGTGGAGCATTGAGGTAGGTTTGATGCAGATCCATGATGCAGGGCATGAGGGACTCCACAGTGTAGCCCGTCAACTCAATCAGAGACTGCGGCTGTAAGGAGACACGAGAATTACAAGCCTGCCTACAGATAGTTGTAACATACCACTACAAAAGATTGAGGAAATTCAAAATGGTAAGAATCAGTTCACACAATCAGCTTCATCAACAAAAGTGATTTTTAAAAACCCCACACAGCAGCTAACCTGACCTTGCATTTGTCCGTAGGAGGACTGCATCCTATCACTGTTTAGGGGAAAAATGTAAAGGTTACACCTTTAGAAAAAGGGCACTTCCAGCTGGATGGAGATGAAGGGATACCTTAAAGGGGGAACGGCAACATTTTTATAATTTTGGGGATAAAAAGAACCAACATTCAGGAGCACACTGCAAAACACAATGAAAGAGAAATGTACACAGTAACCTGAAAAACCATCACCTTCACATCACAAAATAACTTCCAGGTAAATCTAGTGCTGTATTATACAATTCAGAATGAGGCAGCCAATCCTCCAGTAGTACATTGCATCCTTATTATATTGAACTCACAATTCTGCTAATTTAAATCACCTTTAACTCAAAAGAAAGAAAAAAAATCACTCTGCCAACAAATACTAGTTCCAATGTTACCTGCATTTAGTTAACATTTCTGCAGTGAAGTGTCTGCCCTGCAACCTATACTTATCTGCTTGGATATCGCATTAAATTAGACAGTGACTAGGGAGCAGGAAGGGCCACTTCACATCACAACTACAGTAGTTTCACCAACTTGACAATTTTGTGAATTCAGTTTTTCTATACCAATGAATGTGACCGATTTAATAACTGGCCTGAGGAACTGGGACTGCAGTTCCCCTTTAAAATGGTCTTTATAGATACAACAGGCTCATTACCAATTCAGTCCAAGACATGGTGGATCACTATAGATTTCAAATCTAAACATGGAGGTGCTTATCATTTTGAAGTCACTAGGGATTCAGTCCAGACACGAACATTCACTATAGTTTAGCTGTTTTCCAGTTACAGTCTTGGAATTGGAAAAGACTAAGCCAGGGATGTAATCCAGTGAATATCAGGTCAACATTAGGACTACTTAAGGCCCTTGAAAGCCAATTATTCACAGCAATTAATGAACCTGAGAGTTAACCACTTAATTTGAACAAAAGGCTTTTTACCGAGCAAAGTAAAAAAAGGGTTCTGAAAGATCACATTAAATCTTTGAGGGACCGTTAGTTGATAAATTCTGAATATTACATGTAACATTACTAGATTAGGAACTTACCCATGAAACACCTGTAATCGTATACCGTGCCAAAACGAAGGCCGCGGCAGCTGTAACCGACGGGAGATATTTCAGGAACGGGTCCGAATCAACTAAACTCAACTCCCCCAGGAACTGCAAAAAATTAACAAGGTATGAAGACATGAATGCATTCTGTACATCTCTGCACTTCTATAGAAGTGCAAAACAAATGAAAAGAGGAAGACCTACAAAAGGTCTGTGATGTATGTTCTGGAAACTAAAAACCTGTAAGTGAAATACCAGGGATTTCAATAAAAATAAACATCGTTGGCATCAACTCACCATTGACAAGCTCTCAACTTTCTGGTTCACTGGCTGATGAAGGAAGTACTGGGTGAGAAACTGGTTGATTGTAGGAGCAGCAAGATCAAAAGACAGCACTTTCAAAATAAGATGCTCCATCCTCAACACTTGCTTCTTGGTGTAAGTGTCATCCGTGATGTAGACGAACTCCGTGACTTCTGGGGGGTAGATCTCTTCGAATTTCCTGAACACAATGGGGAACCAAGTCAGGTCTCGTACAAGGGGAAGAGGATCAACTGAAAAGGGGGTTTCAGGTGGTAGAGTGAGACTTACGAAGCCAACAGCATAGCTGCCGTCCCGACCAGCTGCAGTTTCCCCCGCAGGACCGACATCGCGGACAGGAAACGGTCAATATAGTTCGCAGCCAAATAGAGCGTCTCGTTCTGCAGCTTGTACTCCTCTCCCACCTCCACCAGCCAGTCCACAAGGATGGCTCGCATGCTGTTCGTAATGTCTGGCTGTTTCTTCATGTAGCCAGCTTTGGGCCTGGACTTTATCTGAGGAAGAGAACAATTAAAATGAAGTTAAAACATTTGGGTTTTGGAATCTCCCTGTACATAGCCATCTTAGAGGTTTTGGATCAGCTGGAGGTCATACTCCCCTCAATGGAAAGGGATTCTACCTTCATTTGGAAGTTGAAGCCCCACAACAAGCATTCAAATCAAACTAATATAAGTGTCAAGTTTGCCTGGGGAAAAAAAAATCCATTCTTACCTCCATTTCCCTTAAGTATTTGTGGATCTCTACAGCATAGTCTGGCACTTCATTTGCATCCCTTGGTTTTTCCTCAGCATCACATACCGACATGTCCATAGCCACTGGCGAATCTGGAAAAAATAGCAAGTACAGCCCAGAATTAGTAAAATGGGGTTATGCCATTATGATTTAAAATGGATACCAACTTCTAAATTAGTTAGAATGAGAAGTTGCTTTCTTTCTTTACAGTGGTAGGGTATACTGCACTTGTTACAAAAGCCTAGGCTTGGTTACATAAGGGTTAAAGAGTAAAAAGCACTGTTAGCTAAGTGAGGTAAGTTTTCTTTTGGTTTAAAACTATAAATCTTCCCATTGATTGCAAGTCAGTCTCCAAGGAGCTACCTCCTTAAAGCTAAGCCATTCTTGTTTCAGGAAACACCTACCAAAACTGGCATCCAGAGGGCACTCAATAACGGAAAGGGGCTGTCTGTTCCCCGCGATGGGGTTAATTGTAAGCAGAGGCTTCTCCATGAGGACTTTAGCTTTGGAGGCCACTTGCTTCTTGGTACAAGCACCATCAGGCTCATCCACGTGAATTGTGAAACCGGGCTGCTTTGCACCCATCTTCTCTGAAGGATCCCGGCCATGGTTCTCAGAATTTGTGCAGGACAGCACTTGACACGAATGGCCCTGAGAACAAAAAACAATAACATCTTGCGTCAGTAAGTATTAGTGGACGTTTACATACATTTCCATATTGGCCAGGTAGAGCTTCTATAATCATCTAAAGTGGCGGGTCACTGAATTACAGTCCAAGTTCCTATAACGTTGGCAATTCCAGGTTAATGCAAAAAAAAAATCCAGATTAATGCAGAAACGTAAACCACGGCCTTTTAAGTTAAACTTGAGAAATGGCTTGCATGCATTTTTTTGAAAACGGACGCGCGATTAGTTTCTCGTGGAAAAGGGAAACCAGAATCTTCGGAAACGTCAGCGAAAACTTGACTAGTACACTTCAAAACAAGTGATCCCACAATTTTATCCCGTCTCTACACATTGCAGAGCTCGTTACAGCAGTAACCTGCCGTCTTGAAAATGGCGGACTGTTCACTGGGAAACACCAAATGGCCATTTAAACAGTTGTTTGCCTCTGTGGCGCTAAGGTAATAAATTATGATTAATCTAGATCCTTGACTACATCAAGTGTTTTGACCACTGTGCGTTTTAAAAACGGAACGGCTTTCTATAATCTCAGAAGTTAACCACACTAAAGGAGAAATTGCAGACGAGCACCAACACCGATAGACTGCAAACCGCAATGAAACACCGAAAACCTCAGATTAAGTTTATCTAATGTATATTATCACCACCGATTAGATTTAAATCGCATAATTTAATCGTTTATTAATTTAAAAGAGCTTCGACCAACCTGTTTTGTTCCTTGTTGTAGCTGGGGTCTTGCGCTTCTCTGGTTGTTCTGCAAAGCTCCCAAAACACTTCTGCTTGTAGCTTTTGGGTTTATATTTTCTTGATCTTCAAGCCGGTGTTTTGCAGCAGCCCTTTGTTTAAGAAGCATGTTTTCCCGGTCTTGATTTTTCTGCAAGTCACTCGCAGCGTGATCGCGACTGATACCAAACATTGTTGCTCAGCTAGTACGCTAAAATAAAGTTCTAAAATTTAAAATAAAACAACCGCCGTAGTTCCGGGTTAACAATTGTGACGTTATGAACTAGCAAGCAACCAGAAAAAACATAAATTGTAACATCAGGGTTAGAGTCTTCTACTACGAAGAGGTCCTCCAATACCCCTCCCAAAGTCTAGAATTAAAAAAAAACAAACTTAAAAAAACGACCGATCACCGCCTCCCCAGACGTATCACTTTCAGCTGTCCATGCTGGGTCTCTTGTATTTTCGAGGTGCAGTTTTTTAGCGATCCGAATAACCAGAGATTAACTTGCAACTCCTCACCAACCCCAGTTCCTGCAGTTACTGGAGTGCTGCTTTCTCTGTTCAAGTAGCCCGCGACTATTGAAATCACCCAATCCGAGCGGGCCTCACCTTTTACGTCACCAAACCTACGGTGGCGCAGACATCCAAAATTCCTGTCTGGGGCTCAGTCTCACAAGAACCGGGACAAAAGCCTTCAAATATGATTGAGTCAGCGACCGGTATTATACTTTGATTACAACAACTATAAATCTACTGTCATAACAGATCGTTTCAAGTGTTTGGGTAATCTGAACAAACAATATATTTTTTTTCACTTGAGGTTATGTTAAATATTTGGATTGACGATGTGATTAATTCACATTTTGCCGAAGTAATCTTTTTTTGACTGATTGATTCACTTAGCACATTTTAGGCCATTACGGTACAGCCCCAGGTTTTAGCTAGAATATTATAGACATCAATTGTATATATTCATACAACACACAGTAGTAAAAAAATGCTACTTCATTAAATGCACGTTATTTTCCTTTTCAAATATTAAAAAATAGGATGAATTTCCTGCTAGTTTTATATAATTAGTAGTTTCCTACGATGCATAAGTATTATAATGTACCGAAATAAACATTTGTTTTAATGATATTGAAATATAAACTTCATTAGGAACTGGCCACATTGTCTACAACGTGCAGCATTAGTCCAAGGTTTTTGAAAGTCCAGTTTACCATTCATTTTGAATGTGGATATGTGCAAACTGAGAATGTCCAATATTGTACTATTCAAAAGGACAAAAAGGCTATATTTTATTTTGTGTTTATGTATCTCTGTTATATGTAAATGAAATGTAATTGTATCATAACTCCAAAAATAAAAAAAGAAAGGTTGGAAAATGAAGGATTCACTTAGGGTTTGGCATCAGTTATTTTCCATGAAGTGTGTATAGTTACTTTGTACAGGAGAAATTTTTTAAAAGCGTGGAAATGAGAAGAGGCCATTAGCCAATCTAGCCTGTTTGGTACTTAATTGATCCAAGAACATCAGAAGAAAACAACTTCAACAACATTGCTGGGTAGCTTGTTCCACACACCCACCACCCCCTGGGTATAGAAGTGTCCCCTGTTCTCAGTTTTAAATACAATTCCACATAGTTTCCTGGTGTGTCCTCTGGTTCATGCTGAAGATGTTGGCCTGTCAATGTCTTTGGGGATTTTAAATCTTTATGTGAGGTCCCCCCATGGTCTTCTTTGTTCAAGGTCCTTCAGCCTGTCAGTGTATGTCATTCCTTTACGTCCCTGAATGTATCAAGTTCCTCTTTTCTGGCCTGATTACATATTTTCTACAACAAACACAAGTATTATAAATACCGTTCAGAGCAGTGAGGCTCAAAGATCTCTCCAGCACAATAGTTTCTCATTTCACTGACAGTTCTTTTTACAGGGGCCTCGGGACTCCTACTACAGAAAAACACGAGAAGCCAAGATTCTCCTCAAACCTCGTCTTTTTAGAATTTCTCCATTCATTTACAGATTTCAGGTTTTCACACCTCTCCCCCAGACCTCCCTTCGTTTGCACTCTTTCTCACCTTCCCAGTCCTTTGTCCTCCTGTGCTTTATACACCCGAACAAGGATCAACAGCCGAAACGATGTCTTCTTTCTGCTTCTTAGTGTGGAGTTAAATCTTTACTTACTCCTAGTTGCTATGTAAAGTAACACAAAATCAATGTGCTGCAATTTACCTCAATTGCAAGTTTGAACAGTAATGGATCATTTTTAAAAGTAACTTTCCACAAAACTAAACATAAACTGTAGTAATAACAGCAATAATTGGTATACACTGTTCCACTTTAAATCCTAAACTGTTTTAATTTCAGAATTTTCCACGATACAAATTCAAATTTTAAATATAAGATGGATTAGTTGAAATGTTAAATACAGCCAGGGCACATTTTTTGATTACTGCAAACCAGAACTGTGAAACGATTTGGCTCTGTAACCTCTTAATTATTGCCTTAATTTGTCTGCAATGTAGACTTGTTGATTGGAGTCACCAAGATTGATTAGCAAATTAAGATGCTATTGTTCCAGTTAACTGATCACATTAATTCCAAGATCAGCCACAAAAGTACAAAAAAGCTACTCAATTTAGCACATAAGTACCTTAACTTCTGATGTTAACCTGGGGTGTTTAGTTAGATCTGAAGAAGTGAATTTATCCCCTTAAGGATGTTTTAGGGGATGTAAGACTTATTATTATTTAGCATTTCAGAGTAATCTGATATGAATTTGTGGTTACAAATAATACGGATGCTTTCTTGCCACCTCAAAATTAGGTTCTTACATTTTAGGTTTTATTAATTGAACCCTTGTGTATTGATACACATGGACAACATGGCTGTACAGTGGTTAGCATTGCTACCTCACAGCGCTGGGTCCCTGGGGGCAATTCCTGGGGTGTTTTTTTGTTTGGAGTTTAAATGTGTTTACAGGGGTTTCCTCCCATAGTTCAAAGACATACTAATAGGTTAATTAGCTTCTAAAGAAACTAGTCTAGGTGCGAGCGCGTGTGTGTCTCTGTGTGTCTTGCAATGCTGTCCAGGGTGTTTTCTGCCTTGAGTCTGCCGCTTGCCAGGGTAGGCTCTGGATCCCTCGCAAGGTTGTATCGGATAAAGTGGTTCGAAAATGGAGGAATTAATACACCTTTGGAAATGTGGAATACTACATGGAGTTTTTAATAAATGTATTAAAACGTTCCTTGGAAAGCAATTTTTAACATCCTAACAACAGGAACAGAAGAAGAACCTTTGAAAAAAACAGGTGTTTGTATGATTTATTTTGATATACTAATTGCTGGCAGCCAGGGTTAGTATGTGAATACAAACAATATCCTTGGGCTTAAAAAAACATTAAATGTTATGTCTAGTTTACCATAGTATACAGTATGTTTACATATAAACATAGTAGTTTACACATAAGGAACAAGTAATAGGTTTATTCCATGCTGAAAAAAAGAAGAAAGAGAACACAACGTTTCGGCCGTGGAGCCTTCTTCAGGAGCCTTCTTCAAGTTTACATATATACTACTAGTAGTTAATTTAAAGCTATGCATTAAATCAACACATTCACAAAGATCCTATGCTACAGATACAGTACAGATAATATTTTTCTTGCAAAAAAAAACAAACACATCACTCACGCACATAATGTATCTTTAATGGTGTTAATGGAAGTTGTACCTAATGAACATCAAATAGCCAATTTTAATGCTACTTCTTCTTAACATAGTATTCCTGAAAAAGTCTGTATGATCCCTATGGAGTAATTATTTGACACTGGTTCTTCACTATCACAGATTGCCTACATTTAAAATATCCTTGCATTTACATCACCAAACCATTAAAGTACCTGCAAATCACTTTTGTGCTGCAATCAAGATTGAATTATTCCTCCTGTAAAGCCTGGGAGGCAGACAATTCAATGCAGGAAAGCACTTTCATTAATTTCCCTGGGTTGCTCTGCACCAGGTGTTAATTCAGCAGATCCAATATTAAAATGCCCCCCTGATCACCAAGAGCATCCCACCTGATTATAACCTACATTTCATCTTGAAAAATCACTTAAATCTTCAGCATATCACAACATTTCTGTGTATTCACAAGACTATTGAGTGACAGACATATAGTTTGCAGCTCTTCATTGAAAGGTACTTAATTTATCCTGAGCAGGACTGTTCATTTAATAGAATAACTCAAACTGACAATTAAACATTTATAATTAAGTTTATTTAAGATTATTTCACAAATGTTATATGCCCCAATGAGAGTAAGGTAACTGTATACATAAATTAATCTGGAATTATTTAACATAGAAAAATATTAACATTAACATATATTTAGAAAATCAAATTCTTATATTCACTATACAGCTCAAGTATTTGGAATAGATGTGAATGATAAGTCAGAAGAAATATTTGTATGAACTGTTCATTGGAACACCAACTCTGTACTTGCTAAGAACACCACTCCATATAATTTCTATGCATATTACTACATTTCAACTATTGTACATATCGTTTATAAATACATCAATTTTACAGAGTTAAAATGTATGAAAGTATCAGGGAAAATTATGATATTGTGAAAACTGAAACAATAACTTCCCTTGTATTTCCAAATAACATTTCTTAAAAATACAACACAAAATTTAAAAAATGTTACTGTAGCTTCTTAGGAAAAACATACCACACTGGATGAAACTTCAATGATTTGTTTACATCTCAGTATTATGCTGAATCAAAAAATTCCACTAAAGAATTCAGTTCATAGTTGTCCAAGATTTCAAGCAGCAATGGTACTTTAGTCTTGACATTCTGTCCTTTAAATTTGAATTTGTCAATGAAGAGATCCGTAATCATACCTGCAAAAAAACCCCATTAACATTTAAATGTAATACTGTATACGGAACTGTAGAAAAAGTTAGATTTTCTTTATTCCTGCAGTGACACTAGTATGTTTTTTAATACATTTTTAAAATTAAACATATTATAACATGTCAGTCAAGATTATAACATGAAAACAACTGCTGAAATTAAAAAGCATGGTAGAGAACATAACATAACATCCAATAACTACACTAAAGAATTATTTCCACGATAAGTAGAAAATACATTTTCCTTTTGGATAATTAGATACTTGTCTTTTCTGTTGCATTTTAAGCATTGAGATAAGAGATAAGATCACTTTACTAGCCATATACAATCTCTTGTATTAGGAATTTGTCTTTCTGCATACCCCAGCTTGCTCTCCATGAGACACACAGGCACAGACGGGGAGAGAGAAGCTTGGGGTCAGAGCGCAGGGTCAGCCATTTATACAGCCACCTGGAGCAGCTGGGGTTAAGGGCCTTGCTCAGGGGCCCAACAGAGTAGGATTCCTCTGCCGGCCGCGGGATTTGAACCAGCAACCTTCCAGCCACAGGCACAGATACTTAGCCACCACTGTGGCACTTAAAAGCTAAAAATGGCTGGTAAAGCTCTGTGATCATGGTTTCAAGCATGTATCATGTCACGCGCTGCCTGGAAGAGGGATTCCCCAAGAAGCACCGTACAACTGGCTGAGCAGCGGCCAGGGATGTGGGAGCTCAGTCAGCCATGACTTGCAGGCATGTGGTGCAGTGGCTGAGGGACACAGCTCTCCTCCAGTCGCTTAATGAACCTCTGGGATGGGGCTGTGCTGCATGTGCTGTGTTGAAAGACGAATGGCTCTGAGGAGGACAGGTCAAAGGACTCTGTCTGCACTTTCACATTCTCCCCTGTGTGCAGCTGAGGGGTGTGTACCAGTGAGGTAAGATGTGAAAAACACATAACAGGCTACTTCAAACCAGAAAGGTGCCAAAAATAATTGTCGGTTCTAAATTAAAAAAAAAAACTGCCAAAAAATAATCAAACCGTACTTACTAAGTACTTCTAGAAATCTACAAAAGCCACAGCATATTAGAATTTTTTCTCCAAGGACTAAATAGGAAAGGAGGTTTACAATCTTGCTGTAACAGGAAGTGCTTACGATAATAGTTGACATTAATGGAATTTGGATGATTCTAGAGTTGCATATTTCCTATTTTGATTTCTCCCAAAAACTTACCATACAGCCTTTCTAAATGTGCTGGCTGTTTTTTGTACTCCTCAAGAAGGCGACTGGCCTCTTCTAGAATACTGCGGTACTCTGGGATGAGAAAGTCCACATTTCCCTCATGGACCTGTAGCTCCTGCAGGTAAAATGACAACACTTAATTAAAATCCAATTCCAATCTGTTATAAAAAAAAATACCTAAATATCTGATTTCAAAACCTAAATGACCAACCCATATTTAAAGGTTAATCGAAAACAGCAAAGTACTAATACAAAGCATTATCTTATTCTATATCTTATCTTAAGAGCACTTTAAATGTTACAAATGCAACAAAACAAAGCAGAGAATGGATTACACACAATCACACATATACAGTATATAGCAACTTGGTACCACACAAGACTTGATTCAAATGATCATCCTTAATATGATAATATTAATAATTAATATAATTTTAATATGGCATTTTAATATGGAAGGTGTCTAAATTTCTGTGCTCGACATTGAATACTGTCAAATAACTTAAAATTACTGACATGAAGAGCTGCTAAAAATACTACTTAAAATTCTTAAGGTTCTATTCATAAAAGTACAAGATAATTGTTCTGGTTAATCCCAATTTTTAATTACCAAGGAAAATTGTGCATATATTAAAAATGATCCATGCAGATTAGGGATCAAAACGGATCTGTGACAGTGGCAATGAATGGTTATACAGCATTTTACCAGCCTGTCTTGCTTTTACTTTAGTATTCATAGGTTGTTGTTGTGGGAAAGCTGCAGAGTAGGAGCTTCAATAGAGATGTTAAATTTTGCAGTAGGAGTTGAAAGGCAGGAGTGAAAACCACTTATTTTAGGTTTTGGTGAGAACATTATTTGTTTTTGTTAGAGGGGAGTAGGGATGTTTTAGTACAGCCTTTTAGGCAGCTTTTTCTTCTTTTTTGACCATTGTGATGGTGACCCATACAGCCATCTGAAGGCGCAAATGTGTGTGGTTTGTAATTAGGTGTAATGAGATACAGGAGGAGAGACTTGTGTGGTCTGGATTTTCTCTGAAAGTTCCACAGAAATAGTTGGGAGTGAAGGTTGGCGTGAACTGTTCGAGTTTGTTGCTGAAGGAGAAACAATGCAATGCTAGTTTCAAGTATGAAAGTTTGAGAGAGAACACAAGCATATGCTTTGGGCTATGTTAGAAGGGGACATGTGGTGGTGTGAAGCTGTGAAGGAGGTTAGGGGTGGAGTAAGAATTAGAAAGAAGTTTGGAGTATGACGAACAGGGCTTTATTTAGCAGGATGATGCTCATATTTAATTAAAACGTTGTTCTCCAGAAGCAATTCTTAAACGATACCTCGATTAATAAAAAAATCATCCTTCAAGGACATATGTCACTGAAGCTAAAAAACAAATCTAGCTTGTCCTTCATAAGCAGCTGCTATCATTTAATAAGCAGCCACGGTCTTGTTTTCCTGTTGACAGCCTAAGGTAAACCTTTTAAAGATACCAAAGTGGTCAAGATGTCCCCTAATGCACTATGATCAGTTAACCACAATTACCATAAAAACATTTATATTTTGGTATTAACACTTACTTTTAAAGCATCAATTAGCTGGACCTTTTTGGCTAGAAGCAACTGGTATTCCAGCTTTGGATGGATCATCTTTAAAGTGTGGTTTACAGATTCTTCATTAATATCTGCAAATGTCACAAAACGATATTAGAAGCTGAAGCATTTAATTAGAAGAATTAATACACTTACTGATAATAAGACTATCAAATATACCATAGGAAATATTGAGGTTAATTTTTCTTTTGGTTGCTTCTTTGGAAAGGACATCCTTGAGAATGGATATTGTGGAGATGTTGTCCGACTTGAAGTTGGCCTCACATTTACTAGAAGGAAATCAACACATGGAACAAATTAACGTTTTACAGTGTTTGATGACAATTATGCTAGATCTGGTTTATTTAAAAGAATTATAGAAAAAGAAGTGACATTAATAGGAAAAAATACAGAAATGTTGTCAAGAAAATTGTACACACAGTATACTGTACATTTGCCATTCAGGTTTTAATTGTGCAAGAATATTAAATCCTTCACTATACTTCAGATAATACAGTGTGTCAGTTGGACAAACCGGGGTTCAGGTTTGGCAACTATATGTTAATATGAGCAGTACATTCTGTTTGAAGTCTGTATTCTAAGGTCATATCTGTTTAGAAAAATACTTATATAGAACTGTTAACCTCTAATAGGATTTACTTAAATTTCCTTAGGTGTTTGTTAGACATCAGTTTACCTTTATGTTACTTTTCATTTTGATTTGATGCTGTTAGCATGTCTTTTTTAATTTAGCACTGGATTTGTTATTAGGATGTGGTTTTAATTTAGTTACGTCTTCAACACAAATGATTTTGGATTACACATTTCTGCTGCAGTACCTGTATGTACATTCAAGTTGTGTGTCAAGGAAAGTGTTCTGAAAGTCGAAAGTAACACTGTCCCCTGCTGGCGTCTTTTCAGGAACTTCAGGAAGACAGAAAACAACCCAGGAATGAATCTCGGCAAAGCTGAACTGTCCAGTGAGAGTGAGTGTGTTCATAGGCCTGTACAGAAGAGACAAGGGAAAAGCCAGTCAAAGAGTAAGCCCTTGGAATGGCTGTAATGTAGGACGTCCATTCCTTATTTTAATCAATAATGCTTTAAACTTATACCCATTTATGTGACTGCAATTCCAGAATCATTTTACAATTATACCAATCACTATTGCACTTACGTGCAACATTTTAAATAAATTGTTAAAGGAAGGTTAATATTCAGTATTCATACGTACTCTAAATTAAAATAAACACTGAATACAAGTGTTATGAAATATAAAATATCCATTATTATGGCACTTTTGTCAGGTATAAATAAAATTATCAATAAAGATAACAAGGCGAAAGATAACATAAGCTCAGAAGGGGCCAGAAAGACAACTAAAAAAAACTCTGTATTTATAATGAAGCCCTATAATAGAAAATGTAAAGAACCCATTCAATTGTCCTTTTGGTAATGTTTTTTTCCATTGAACAATGATGATTCTCACCTGTCATGATCAATGGTATGAGTTCTTTGGTGAAGGGACAGGGGCTTAATTTGATATCGACGGACCTGGCAGGTTTTTGGTTGTAGACGTGGAGTTACATATGCTTGCAAAGTCCCATACTGGCCTTCAATGGATCGGATCTGAAGTTTAAAGTAATATTAACAAAACATTTGATAGCACAAAGCACAGATTTTGGACTCGTATCTGAAACAGTAAAAACATTAACTGCAGAATTCCGACCTTGTGAAATACAATGAAAAATTCCTAATAACACATCACTTAGTATTCATCAGAAACCTCAACACAAAAACCCTAAGCAGAAAGAAGCTACAATTAAATCAAATATTAATAGAAAATTCAATAAAATGTATAATCTACACTAAAGCTGTCCTATAAAGAATTTAAAAACCTGAAGGCTACATTAATTCCTCAAAAACCTGACAATTCGTACTTTGAGTTATGAAATTGTGCAAACTTGCAAAGTTAATTATTTTAAAATCAGAAAATATATTATTAAAAGGCACAGGCTAATGAACATTACAAGTCCCCCAAATTTTTTAATATAAAATACTCTTCTATTAGAAGCTATTGGAAGATTTCACATTGGTGTGCTTTTGGAATGAAATCTTCATTTACAACAACTATAAATTTGAAACATATACATCATCTTTCATTTGCTTTGTAGTAAAAAAAGAGAAGCATAAACGTAGCATGGTGATGTTAACATACAGTGCAGTCCATAAGAATTTGGACAGTGACACAATTTGTGCTTTTTTGGCTCTGTACTCCTGCACATTGGATTGGAAATGAAACAATTACTATGAGGTTAAAGTGCAGAATGTCAGCTTTAATTCAAGGGTATCTATGTCTATATTGGGTGAACCACATAGGAATCACAGCCCTTTTTATACATAGTCCCCCCATTTCATGGGACCAAAGAAGACCTCCTCCACGGCCGAAACATTGTTTTCTTTCTTCTCTTTTCAGCATGGAATAAACCTATTACTTGTTCCTTTGCAGCCTACGCATGCTGACGCAGCTCCCCACCTGAACATGTTTAAGCATATGCATATATTGGGAGAAAAGTTAAAAAAAATGTGTTAAAACAATTATTTAGGCAGGGGAAGTCTAGTCATATTTCCTCTTTTTGGATGGTTATTTTCTGATTTCCCGACTCTAATAATAACTAAAAGTATTCTTAAGTATCTATATTAATTCAGCTATAAAACCACCTTTCATTTGAGGTACAATAGCAAACTTGCACTCATTTCATCTGTTCGATACACTCAGGTGTTAATTTAAACTTTTTATACTACCCAACTATTAATTTGTTTGCTGGTCTTCATGATTTATAACTGCCTGAGCTTCACTTGGTTCAAAATGCACCAGTAAGAATGTTAACTACAGCGGATATACAAGATTGTGCTATTCTTCCAATTGGCTTCCAATTGATTCTAAAATACTTCAGTATTGTAGTTTCAATATGCTGTGTTGCTAGCAGCCTGGTTATTAAGGAAGTAGAGTACAGTACATCTTCTTAAGTGACAAATAGGTCTTCACCTGGTAGAAGTGTTAATTTGATCCAATTAAGGTTTAATGAGTTATATGAAGTGTACAATAGTCATTATTAAGATATACTTGAATAATTACACCTATAAATAATGCATAAACATCATATAACAAAGAGGAAATGAGTAAATCTTCTGCACTAAGATTTAGTTATGTCACAGGGAGTGCTTAATGCATTTTAAAGGGAGATATGTCTTAATGAAATATACAGAAAATGGAAAATACTTACCTTAAGTTCAAGTCTTGTGGTATTTGCTTGGCATCTATACGTAGCAAGGAGGAAGTTACCATTTGGCTGACAAACAGGACATTAAAATGAAGAAAGGTATTTATCATATTCCACTGAAACAATACAATTATAGCCAAGAAACTAATTATGCATAGATGAGAATGATTCTATTTTTCACTCATATAAAAACAACATTTAACACGATAATTAAATGAGGCAAATAAACTAATGATTTTTAATACCTGACATTGCAAACTATGCTCTAGTTTCTAGTCATGTAAGAAGAAAAAACTGCCCAGGACTGGATTGTAGTCCATTGCAGGCTAGCCTGACGAAAAATCTTGCGTTCATGTATACATGAGTTGACCACAGTCAGTGGAATAAAGTATCGCACTCAAGAATACAAATAGCTGGCCTGCACTGGGAGGACCTAAACCCATAACTCCCCAACTGTCTAGGGCTTTCAGAAGTAAGAATAATCATGTTCATGATAGCTCTCATGCCACATTTATGTTTTAAAGTGAGAACTTCAACTGGTTTGCCCAGCACATGACAGAAAGGTCATGCAAGGCCACCACAGGGATAGGCTGTGGTGAAACCATTTCCACTGCAGAAGCAAGGGATGTGGGAGCTAATGACTGATGACTCTTCCATGTTAATGAGAAGTTACTTTTTCTGCAGCTCATTTCATGTTTTAGACACTAGTCAAGTTTCTGCAGTTATGTTTTTCCTCTTTCACTTGATTAGCTCTAATGTTTTTCCCATTGTTGTTATTTGACTAGTTTGGCCCTTGATTAGGTGTAAGTACAGTATATCATGGCTAGATTCAGGGAGGGCCTGATGAGTTTCACAGTTGAAACAGCTAAAGCTTTCCTTTGCACATAGATAGGCAAATAAACACAACACTATACATTTTTCTTAATAATTAATTGCTTTTCCGCATTACATAAACACGCACAGAGCAAACTACTGGTTTAAACAAAAGTTACAACTCCCTCGTCGTAGTTATGAGCCAAATTTTTACCTCAGAATCACATTCACTGAAACTGACTACTGCAGAATTTTTATCCACATCCAGCAGGTCAATGGGAACATCACTCTGTGAGAGTAAAAAAAAAAAGATTTCTTTAATCCTGTTGCAAAGTCATATATGGTCTGACCACATCCAGTTTTATGGAAGTATTAAGTTAGGTTGTTTTCAACTATAAAGTCAGTCACTTAACCAAAAAAATAGCCATTATACTCCATAACATCTTTTTGTCTATTCAAAAAACATTTAAGGAAGAGCTAATGAAAATAATGCATAATTATCAGCTCCTCTTATTATGAGAGTAATTACATAGTGCTTACTCCTACTGACCTGAAAGATATGTTTGAATACGATTTTTTGTATGCCTGCAAAAGCAAATTGTCAAACGTTTTATACCTGCAAAAGCACATTGTCAATGGCTGTCTGCACCTCCAGGGTGAGACTGTAGCTGGCGTCATCCTGACACAGGGTGAATTTGTCATTGATGCTGAAGACTGGGACAGCAGAGACCGCTTTACTGGACTGGGAGGACTGCTGGTATTTCTCACGTTCCTGCAGGACTTTAATCTGCAGTTGCTCTAGCTCCGCCCTAATATGAGTTGGAGACAAGCCGGGTTGGAGCATTGATAGGGTTTGATGTTTTACATTTAGTATACATGCATGTACTGTATGTAAAATCCTAAAACCAGTTTCCACTAATAAGTACAACGAATTTTCACTTAGTTTGAAGAAGCTATATTTAAAAAAAAGAACTACAGCTTTTTAACAAATATGAATACATGCTACAAGAAATCATAGCTGAAGTTTCAACATCATACCAATAAAACAGGAATATGTATTGTAACAGACAAGCTAGAAGGGCTGACCAAAGGATCAGCTTTATGATCCAGGTGTAACAGGTTTGAGGCTGGGTCATACCATTACCCAGTTGTCACCAGGTTTTCCCAAGCACTGGGGCACCATGAGCCACCAAGAGCAGGATAATTGGCCTGGGTTTCATTGCCTGTCAGCTAATACGGCGACCCCTGTGGCCACCTGGATGCCAAAAAGTTTGCAGTGCTACAGGCGAGTGCCATGCCTCTCCTTCAGCTGGCACTGAGCCTCCGTTCTGGGGCTTTGTTGCCTGTGACATGTGAAAAGCCGAATGGCTTGAAAGAGGGAAGGTTGGAGGAGTCTGCGTATACTTCCTCAATCTCTCCTGTGTGAGGTCACAAGATCTGTAGCTATGAGTTGGGATGTGGAAAAGAAGATTTACTGATGATGTTACTAGTAACATATGAAATCAAGTATTATGTACAATTCCTCTGCATTCGTTACAATACATAAGAATCCTAGGTGAAGTGTGAAAAACCTTTCTTCCTTAGATTGCCTAGGCATTTTATTTAATTCCAGCTTTGTTCATGGCTGTTTGTGAAATGCACGTTTTTTCACCCTACCCTCCATTCTGGCTTATCCCTAGAACACGTGGAGCATGTGACTCTTACCCACGCATGAATGTTGGTTTTAAACATCAAATCTCCCACAAGAAATCTTACAAGAATCTTCAGACGGAAGAAGAATTAGAAGACATTGTTGAGTTATTGACATTTTTTTTTTCCCAATCTCAACCTGAGCCCAGCGCAACAACAGGAAAACCATTCTCAGAACAGACATTTGATAACTCAGATGTTTTTGATGCATGTTTCTGTTTTAAGTTCCATGGTATTCCAAATTAAAGAAAATAAATTGTGCACATAGCTCTAGTCACAATAAGTTACAATTATCAGAGTACCTCAGAGCTGCGATTTTGTTCTGCGTCTCACGACTCATCTTGATCTCCTCTCCAGGTCCTGCTTCCTTATGCTGTGGTTCAGAGGTGAGTCCAGTCAGCCACCCTAATGATCAACACAAAGCACTCAGAAAAAGCATTTTGTAAATACCTTGTAATAAAAAGGAACAATGTATATGCAAAATTTGGGAATTTTGATTCTCAATAAGAAATATACTTTACATTTACAAAATGCAGTAGTATTAAGCTTACATATTTAAGTATGACTCAGTCAATTGTCACCACTAATGGTTTTCTGAAACATTCTGAGCCTGCATGTATCTTCCTTAAAGAATAAATGCAAAATTAAAGTGTGCTGTTGTAAAACTATCATTGCAAATGTATCTTTAGACTTAGAAAAAAATAAAGAACATAAATCTTAAGTATATAATGATTCTGCAATTATATTTTTATTGAGTATTCTTACCAAAACTTAATTAGTAGTACTGGATATCTACTTGTCAGTTCTTTGTCTAATACTTCTCAAGAATATGTACAGGTAATTTGAACACTGGTATTAGATTCATCCCACTAATTCTAGTAGTTGTTGCCCACTGCAGGCATTACTTCAAGCAACCTTGATCCACACACTCCACATTAATACTCGTGACTCCCTCAGCCCCTGAAGCCTCTGGTGTAGGTACACAGATGTAGATGTCTGCATTATCTTCTGTTTTTTTTTTTGTCATTTAGCCTTTTGCAACCTCTGTTACACTGGGTATGGGTATGTGGTTGGTTTAGTTTAAGATTCAGCATTGAAGTGAGTCACAGAGAAAGTTCTGTACTTTACCTCAGGGTTGGGAAGACTAGGGAAATAGGTTATACATACTGTATAGTTTTAGCTTCCACTGGCAAGTTCATTCTCTGAGAAGCCAGTGGTGGAATGAAAGTGGGAGTTCTCAGGAGGAAGCAGTAACCTAAGCCATCAGTTCAAGCTGCATTAAGGTTTAGACAAACAGGGCAGGCAAGTAAAGTATGCAATGGACCATTATAGGCAGAGAGGGTATTTGATTACACCAGTGTTGGCCAAACCTCAGCCCAGGCTCCAGAATTCTCCATAGTACAAGGGCTTCATGCAAGTAGGTCCTCCTGCACTGCACAGTTTTAAGGGTGGACTGCCACAATCTTAAAGAGAACTAACACAGACTAAGTGTGTTAGCTGCACTGCTTTATGAGATCCTCTGACACTAGATTCCAGTCCAGACACTTTTAGAGAACTAACTTTCACCCATCTGGATTTCTTAAAAATGATTAAAATTGCAGCACATACCCTTTACACCCATCAGTCAGTAGCATTATAATACTGTGCGTATTCTGCACAGCACAAGCATCCCCAGGTGTCTGCAGCTATTACCTGTGTATGTTGCTGTCAGGACCTCCTCAAAAGACTCTTTTCCAACACACCCACCCTGGATAGATGTGACACTCTCTGACAGGGTCTTTGATTTTTAAAGAATAAATATAAAGGTGGGAGAGAGCAAAAAATGTGTAACCAATTGGATTCCAACCTTGTGTAGTTATAGGTTAAATTAATTAAATAAACACTTTTTATTTACATTTTTTAAAGAGTATGTGTAGAATACAGAAAATATTTATAAATATAAGAAAGGTTGTACAGTATATTTATGAGAAACAGATTTTCTGAATCTGACTTGAAATAGCAAGCAATTATTTTTGGTCTAAAATGTTAGATTAAGTTTTTTTTTTAAAAGCTGGTTGTTCTCTTTTATTCTTATTGGTGATTAGACATACCTTGGATAAGGTCCATCAAATCAAAATTTTGCCAGATTTAGAAATATCACTCTCGGCTGTAATATTCAACACCATGCTTTAAAAACTCAGATACTTACACAACAGGGCTGACATTATATGATGACATACAACTGAGTTACCTGCATTTCTATGCTAGTGCATGAAATAGCTCTAGGAGTTTAAGCAAAATGCCAGACAGAAATCAAGACTGCAATTTTTTCAATTTAAACTCACATGTTCAAAGCGCAGTACAGGCTCATTGGAACTGTCAAGCCCATAAACTTCTACTGTTCCATCATCTCTGCCAACAAGGATCTCCTTTACCCCATCACCAATAATGTCAAATGAATCAATGCACAAAACACCTAGTGAATAAAACAACACCCACATTTCATTTTTGTTAAGACACTGTTCTTTTTGGACAATGATCTGAGAACCTTCTACTACAATTCTAGTACTCATATTCATTTAATGCCCAAACCACTTCCAAAATTAAAATTTGACTACTTTAAAACATAACTGATTATGTACTAACAATAAATTGAACTGTTAAATATTTCATGTCAATTAATGGTTAGCTTGATGACTGTACCTGTACTGTGTGATTTGAAGGTTACACCCACAGTGATTTTGCAAATTATTTAAAGTTGCATTTTCCTGATAAAGAATAAAGCAGGAAATGACATACACCCTGAAATCTGCCATGGGTTCCTAAATTATAGAACACAAACTAGGTGTACACCACATACAGTACCTCCTCTTTTCTTTTCATTAGCCACTTCCCAAATGTGAACTGGCGAGGTATCAGTGAGCCTGAGAAGTCCCAGCTTTCCATCGGATGTCCCATAAAGAATTTCTCCACCTTGGCTTCCTAAATTATAGATTACAAGTATTATAAATTGTAAGCAATGATGAACGAGTAGAGGACTTTATATTTTGTATTACAAATTTCACTTTCACAACTTATTAAACAAGAATTCATAGACATAAATGTTATATTTTACAGTAGGTATACAAAGTGAGAATTTTCTTTTAATAATGTTGCCTTGTTCATCGTAATCCAACTTTTTTAATTTGACTCCTTTCTTCAAAACATATCTGTAGTGGCTCATTATCAAACTGTTTTTGCTCCATTTGTTAGATTACAATTGGGGAAAAACCTGCATATAAATCACATACCTCCATCTCTGTTGTTCAACTCTAAAACAGAGGCCGGTCCAGGAACCTCAATGTCGTACATGAGGTCTGATCCCTACAGGTATGAAACACACGCAGCAAACTTGTGATAATAATAATTCCTTACACTTATATAGCGCACTCAAAGCGCCTTACAGGTAATGGGGACACCCTTCCCTACCATCCACATAGATGATGCGACAGCAGCCATAGTGTGCCAGTACGTTCACCACACATCAGCTATCAGTGGGGAGGAGAACAGAGTGATGAAGCCAATTCATAGATGGGGATTATTACGAGGCCATGATTGGTAAAGGCCAATGGAAAATGTGACCAGGACACCAATTTTTTTTGGTGGGCTGCCAGTTGTGAGTTGCAGGGTGACATGATCAAAATAATTTAAAGTCATGCAAAGCACACAAAGTGGGGATATATGGAAATGTATTAATACAAAAAATATGAACATATGTGAATACAAAATTAAATGTTATATATAAATCAATAAATAAAATATTATAAATATTATTTAAAAAGTTAAAAATTAGGCTGTTCTATTCAAAAAGTTTGGACTTTTTTTAAAACACAGGCACACTAAGCATTTAAGAACTGCACCTTGAAGAATCCTACTGAAGTTGCAGTGTGAAGAACAGAGCTAATTTACCTGTAGTACCCTGAGGACTCTGTCTTGACAGGCCAGCACTGGAGTGATTCGTCCCAGATTCTCCACTGGTAGGCAGACAATGTCATTGATCTTGTCCCCCGACAGGTAGTAATCCTGATCTTTGCAGTCGCAGTAATGGTTATAAATATAGCTTGCACACACAAAGAGATCTGCTCCTGACACATACCTGAAAATGTAATGTCAGGAAGAACATTAAAGTAAACCACATTTAATTGTATGGTACAATGAAATATTCAGCAAAAGGCACTCTTAAATATTAACATTGTACACTGCAATGCATATATCTAGACAATTATATACAGACAGAAAAATCTAGTTTTTGCTGTTTTTGAGGTGACAGCTTCTTTAACGAATAAAGTCTGCTTCTTGAAAATACTGCAAAATCCTTATCAGAATGCAAAATTTCTTGGAGAAACTTAAACATTTTCTAATCTCCTTTGTCTGTTTTGCTAATACTAAAGGCAGTATCGTTAAAGATATTAGAATATATAATATTTCAAGAGGTGGAAAACAAACTTTAGATGCACTGTAGAGTAGCTGTTATTCAGAACACTGTGAAAAGGTGTGATCATCTTACTGTATTACTCTGAATGAAATTACCACATCTTTTCCTTAGTCTTCAAATAAACACACTTTAATAAGCTACTTATATTTACCACAGACATCTACATTTTTTGCACATCTGACCTAACGTATGTATTTGATACTTAAGTGAAACAGTGTTTGATGCTTTTTTTACTGTACATCACCATCATTATCATTTTCCACCAAGCTACATAATGAAAACAGCTCTGTACCCACAGTTGTTTAATTTGAACTTTCTTCAATTGAAACAGCTCTCAAAATCTGTAACATGATGCCAGTTGTGATAGCAGGTTAACTGTTAAAATGTGACCAAAAAAAGTTCTGAGCAAGCTTTTTGTATGTTTAAGAGATTGTTTTTTTGTTGTTTTGTTTAGTATGGCTAATTAACTATTTTTTAAGAAGACACCTCAATATGAATGGGACTCTGAACATGGCGGTTTCCGATTCCAGGAATAATGTAATGTTTGCTGATCTAGAATTGAAAACTACAGGGCTGTGCCAAAGCTTCTGTCTAAAGATAATGCCTATCACAACTGACACATTCAGATCAACTGGCTGAGATGAGACACAAGATTTTTAAAAAGCAATTTAAAATATTCCCAAGTGTAAGTATATTTAATCTTTCAGATGGTTACAAGTGAAGTGAAGTGTTGTTAATCACAAAACGTATTTCCCGATTATCCTTGATTCTCAGTATACTGTACATGGCTTCAGTACAAGTTGATGGGAAATGAGTCTTGTTGTAAAATGAATCACTCTGTCATTAAAAGACTTTCCTTATTCACTTCAGATAAATATGACTTGCAAAGTCTCTATGCATCTGTGTGCTAAACAAAATAAATATATCAAATAAATAAAATAAAGTATCCAATGAAAATGTGCTAACAAGTTCTATTATTCATATTATCTTCTGAATATTAAGATCCTCTCATATCTTAATTTATGAGAGAACAGTTAGAATCTATTATCTAAAACATGGTGGTAATATGTATACAATACTGCTATGGAAAAATTATTGGAAAAATGCCCTTGAATAAATATTGTCCTTTAATAAATTGTTCAACTTTAAAAGCATTAAAATAAAGACTGCTGCCTTTATTCAAAGTAATCTTAAAACCTTGTTGATGAAATTATAAAGACATTTTTAATGAACTCTTACACAACATACTGAAAAAGCCTTTCACCTTTTAAAGGAGATTAAAACTTAACTACAGCCTCAAACACATTCAGTAAGTTATTATAACCCAGTCAGAAATGATGCATACATGGCCTTGATGCTTTCCGTAAGGTTAGCTTCAAATGAAAGGAACTGTTTGCCTTTCTTTGTGAATCCTCGAACCTCTGACCCTGCAGCAACAAAAATCTTCTCCTGCGGTGTTCCTAATGCCCCGCCAAGTTCCAGCCTGGAGATCTTCTGGCCTGGCAGGGTCTTGAACACCGGCTGAAACACAAGCAATGTCATCTCAGTCCAATCACATAAACAGCTGATGATCAAATGTAACAAAGTCAATTGTCCGGCTGTATAACCTTGACTCCCTCCTTGCTGGACCACTAGAATGGCTCTGCACCTTCTATTTTAGTTTAGGTGTCACGGGGGCATCATAACAAATTAAGAATTAAGATATGTCCTACAGCTGTTATTTTAATAATAATAAT